TATATATATATATATATATATATATATATATATATATATATATATATATATATATATATATATATATATATATATATATATATATATATATATATATATATATATAATATAATATATATATATATATATATATACCTTTCACCTAGATATATATATATATATATATACTAACTTTTCATGCTCTATACGATATTTCAAATATGGAGATGAGCTGTACACAAATCAAACGAGTCACATGCTGTACAGGCTGCCTATGTCTACAAGGGGAGCAGCACATGTGTCCGAAATTTTGGTCCCGTGGAATCAAAGGAACGGAATTGGAACCTGGTGATTGTTGCCATGTATAAAGTAACGCTACAGATATTATATCATATAGTATGCCAACTCCTGCTAGAGCTGAATTATATAGTCAGATGGGAATACAATTCTCATATGGTCCTGTAAAAGAGCATCATCGACCACGTAAGTTGCGCACTAGGCAGTGAGATAAGCTTGAATGAAGTGGCATATTCAAACAACAAATAATAGAAGACAACATAACCTCCCTCAACAAATTTATTCGTCAAAAATTGAAATAGCCGAAGGCTCTTGAATTAACCAAATTTTGCACGATAAAGTCATAAATGTACATAAAAAGAATGGAATTGTCGCTAAATGTACATTTGTACATATTTGATCAATATTTCAGCACGTTTTCATCGACAAAATGGGGGAATGTACATTTAGTGACTTTTTCACATTTTAAATGTACATTTAGTGACTTTGTTCCATATTATAATATACCCAAAGCAGGGGACTAGTAATCTTCTCATCGAATGACCATTCCAATTGTTCTTCGAGTATGCCGTAAGTTGTATGGTACGTAGCCTATATGGAAAACTTGATACGGCGTTATGGGCCCGGCCATGGTACTGTTTCAATTTCTTGAAGACTGCTATGTCATCAGTCAGAACGTGAAAGACTGAAGGGTTGTGTTGGGGCCGGTAGTTCAACACCAGAAACTGTTCGTGTCCAGGTAATCGAAGTATCACCAAGTAGCGAGTTAGGAACGAGGTATCATCGAGATTCGGCTGGCGGTGGGTTGGGATTGTATACCCAAGTGGAAATTATAACGAGTGGGCAAATCGGATGACGAAGGTGAAATACCATTAGTATCAGGCGGAACGTAATATGTACGTAATGTATCTCGCTGTCAGGTTCATTAGTCATTGTAGGTATCACGGCAAGTGTATAAGTCAAAGGTTGATACAAAACCAAAGCCTATGGAGTAAGTAGTACCAGTTCCATACGTATCCGCAGATGGAGAAGGTGTGACTCCAATAATTGTTCTTGCCGGGGGTATATCCTTTAAAGAGAATGGCTTGTGTTTGGCGAGAGTCATAAAAGACGCCATACTGTTTAGCAGTGGGGTTATAGCATAAAGTGTTACAGCTGTTGTACCAAGCTGTTCTCAGAAGCTTGCAGGGACTATGGGGTAATCTTTAGGTGACTGAGAAGCACTAGAGATTAAATCTAGGGCTTATTTAATAAGATGTTTTAAGTGCGAGTATCAACCACTGGCATATCCGCAAGAAAGCAAAAAACAAATAATAGCAGAGTTGATAGTCAAACTCGGGGATAAACTGTACTTTCGTCATGTAACCAATTTATGTATTGATCTCAAAAAAATCAATTTATCAACGAATCATTACTTCGTCCATTACCCTAGCAGATTGTAGTGACAAAACCCGTCAAGGAACAAAACTAAAGTTCGCGCGTCAGAAGAAAAGAACACAAACAGACATACGAAGCAAATCAAAGCAGAGTTGATAGTCAAACTCGGGGAAAGACATAATTTTACTTTCGTCTTGTAACCAATTTATATATTGATCTCAACAAAATCAAACTAGGATCATTCGATCAATATCACTACGTGGATTTGCACCTGACAGACGGCCTACTGCAATGAGTTGACAGGCTCAGTTGGATATACTTCATGCACACTCTGACACCCTAAGTCAGCGCAGGCGGCGACTTGCAACCCACGAATAAATACGACACTACACATAAACGTGCACCGCCAACTAGCTCTAGTGTCGATGGATTGGTACATCTCCGTAAACTGAGGTATCATCTCTTTCACGGCCTTCGAAGGTTCGTATTCAGGTTTCAGTAAGTTATCATCCACGATGGTGAATCCACGTAAATTACTATCCAAAGTAAGCAAATATGCGGGTTTGGCACTGAGATAGGACAATCGGAAGGAGTTGATAAAGCCGCATAGAAAAAGTCAGCCTTGTCGAACACTCGTCCTTTTGAAATTGGGCTTGTACTTTGTGTTTAAATATGCGCGCTTGTTGCAAATATGTAAAAAAATCACAGCCAAGTTAAGTGAATATACAACTTGCTCAGAACAACCGCAACTACGTGTATGAGTGCCATGCAGATAACCATGAAAACTTCCGAGATAACCATGATAACTTGTGAGATGTCGATGTCCATTAAAATTTTCGAGATAACCATAAGAACTTATGAGATAACCATAAGAACTTGTGAGATAACCATGGAAACCTTGAGATAACCAATACAATTTGAGAAAACCAATAAAACTTGTGAGATAACGATTAAACTTGTGAGATAACCAATAAAACTTGTGAGATAACCAATAAAACTTATGAGATAACCATAAAAACTCACCAAGTTTACCAATAGGTAAGGATAAGGATAGGAAGTTTGCTTTAATTAATCATAAAGTGATCGACTGCCTCAGCTGAGTGACTTGATAAGTTGTGTACTGGACGCCTCAAATTCTCCCACATCACCAACAGCCCTGCCCGCTCGTGCGTGTATCTTTGCGGCCAGATCAAATCTTTTATAAGAATACAGAGCACCTAGATAACTCAGCCATGGACCTGCAAAGTGCATGAAACCGGATCGTTTATGTGAGTATAGGGAAGTAAAATAGGACAACTATGGACATCCGATATACATGCACAGGGTCTGGCACAAAATGCTATATGGCGTGTTGAATACTTTTAAACACAATGCCGATGAGCAAACCACGTGAATGGGGCTCTCCGATACTATTCATATGGTTGTATCTGGAGTACGAAATAGATGTACATGTCCACCAAGTTAGCAATGTATCGCAAGAGAAAACAGATGTACAGTACTCGTGACCAGTTCGACAGTTGATTCAACTGTCAAACTGATCATGGGTACCGTACATTTGTTTTTCCCTCGAGATACATCGCTAACTTAGTTGAAATGTACATCTATACCGTACTCCCCAACCATATGAATAGTACCGGAGAGCCCCATCCATGTGGAAACGTACAGTAATTTACAATGAGAGATTCATGACATACAAGCACACACGCGTACTCGCATTACTTGCGACTGATGATACTATCAATACTTATACATATACAATGGTCACCTGCAAATATATACAAATGCAACTGCTACCATAATGTATCCCTCAGTGATGATGCAGGCATATTCACACATTCACACAGATTTGGCCTTGGTAAATACAACTGCCTTTGACGCGAATATCTCAAAACTCCTGGACGACACCAGGATTGTGATCAATCCAGTTGGTAAACCACACCTCAAGTGATACTCAGGTTGTGACATGGCCAACACCCTTCTGATCACTCACACACTATCCATAACTCAAATCACTTAACTCAACTAACAATAACAACTATAAATTGCAGACCATTGCCATTGCAACATCCCAACTAATGTGCACTCGCCCGTGTGAATTATCTTAATCTCAAAGCATATATCTCATGTAACAAAGTCATTGCCTTCGACCAGACATACCCGCCGATACCGGATTCAGCGACACAGCAAACTCGTACATCTCAACCACAAAGTCGCGATCAGAGGATAGACACGCCACCTCCAGGCGAATACAACGTTGTAACTGGGCACAGGCCATGCTTACGCGGTGTGTCTTTAAGGCTCGCAGGACACTCCTACCGGCAGGGATACTGGTGCTGTAGGCGTCCGTGCAATGTTGGACTATCATGGTATCCCTATGGGGTGGTTGGTCGGGATGTGATATAATTGAGCTGATGTAGGATATTCGTGATATGTATACGAGATGATACAGACCACTCGGGATATCTATGGGCTTATATATAACCTTCATGATATATGACAGTATATATAGCATGATATGTCCTAGTATATAGCATAAGTCATAGTATATAACATGATATGCGACTGCGTGGTTCACGCACACGCAGTAATGTACTTTATAATGGTATCCGGCCATGATAAACAGTATACATGCATGTCCATGACGATGGCACCATGGACTAATTCTGGTCCTAACAGTATTAAGTGGCCTACATCGAACTAATTAAAAACATCCAACTACTGGTACTAATTCTGGGCCAAATAAAAATAAGTGGCCTACATCGAACTAATTAAGCAATCAACTACTGGTACTAATTCTGGGCCAAATGATAATATTCTACATCGAAAATTAATACTATACAACCTATTGGTACACCACAGTGCATTAATTCACGTACCTTTCTGAGCTGCACGGCAGCGCCAACAGTGCGCACGCGAATACGTCGTCGCACTCGCCTAGCTTCTCCGCGGCCAGAAGACAGCTGAGATAGTCCACCCACACCCCAGTGGCCTTGGAGACCTAATCGGAAGAGACATGTTGGGATGAAAGGCGTGTTTTAGCTTACGAACGAGTGAATACTACCGAATGACCTATGGTTATACACATTGACACAAGAATACGACACGACAAAGAGCGCCTGAGGAAATAAGAGCAGACAATAACACGGTGCCCTTTTAGGTATACATTTACAAGACAATACGGGATATAAACAAAGCATACGCTCATATATTTATATATATAAAATATATATCTACATACATTCACATTTATATACATATATATGTCCATACATATATATACACATACATACATACATACATATATAAAGCATACGTTCATATATATATATATATAAAATATATATCTACATAAATACACATTTATATACATATATATATATATATTACTTATGCATGTGTGCGCGGCCATGCGTGGCCTCACAGTGTCACTCGTAAAGACGTCCCTCCCAAGAACACGCCCCAGCACACCTGCTTCAAAGCCTGCTCGTAGAGCTCTGTCATGGCCGCAAGCACTTGTACAACGTCGCCGCCGTGCTTCTCCTTCATCAATGTCTTGACCACCCGCACTCGCCAGGCCCACACCTCCACTGAGCTGGGATGCTCCTCACATGCACAGCGCATGATCACCAGCGGATCACGCAGAGACCCTTCATAGCCCTTTTTCTCTACCGCCTTACGCGTGCGTAGGGCCGCGTTGACCCACATGACATACACGTCCACCTGTGTCACCCCTTTCTTCTTTTTGTCCTGATACGAACGCCGGCACACGTCCTTGACCGCAGCTAAATCGGCCTGCTCGTATAGAAAGGCGATGTAGAGTGTATACATCGTCGGCTTGTCGTGGGTGCGCGCGAGTCCTTCTTTGTACACCTCCACAGCTTTGCTTTGACCTTCTTTGTCATCGGAGAAGCCGCAGCTTACAAACTCACGTCTGGCCAGTAAGTCCCACATCTATGCAGAGATACGGAGAGGAAAGTACAGGATTCATAGGCGTGTAGATATGTGGATAGTTATACTGGGACATCCTGAGCATCCATAAGTACAGAGAGGAAGGTACATATACATAGGCGTGTAGAGATGTGGATAGTTATACTGGAGCATCCTTACATACATAGGCGTGTAGAGATATGGATAGTTATACTGGAGCATCCATTAGCATCCATAAGTTCAGAGAAGAAGGTACACATACATAGGCGTGTAGAGATGTGGATAGTTATACTGGAGTATCCTTAGCATCCATAAGTTCAGAGAAGAAGATACAGATTCATAGGCGTGTAGAGATGTGGATAGCCATACTGGAGCATCCATTAGCATCTATAAGTTCAGAGAAGAAGGTACAGATTCATAGGCGTGTGGAGATGTGGATAGTTACACTGGAGCATCTTTAGCATCCATAAGTTCAGAGAGAAGGCACACATACATAGGCGTGTAGTGATGTGAATAACGGAACAATGCGAAACATAGGTCACTCCAGTAGGTATACAAATGCCCATCTATAAACACTACCCCACTCATACTTGACTAAGGAAACATTTATATTGTACCTGCGGCTTGGTACTGAAATCCGTCCTGAGGGAATCATATATCTCTGCCTGTCGTTTCTGGCTCCCATCGAACAGTCGGTATATATCTAAGAACGCCTTCCTATACTCTAAGTCATCTGTGGTGTAAACGTATACGTAAACAATGATTAGTAAGTCATCTGTGGTGCAAGACAGTGTGTTATATACGCATACGTAAACAATGAGTAGTACGTCATCTGTGGTGTAAGACAGTGTGTTATATACGTATACGTAAACAATGATTAGTACGTCATCTGTGGTGAAATACTGTGTGTTATATACGTATACGTAAACAATGATTAGTACGTCATCTGTGGTATACGACAGTGTGTTATATACGCATAGAAAAATAAGTACAGGAATCGAGATTTCAAAGCGTATTCTCTGTGTTTGCCTTCGGTGTAAGTTGTGCTATACAAGCAGGTTGCGATAGTTCGCACCCTTTTCAAGATGAAAAGGTCCAATCCGCACCTTTCTTCAAGATGAGAAAGTCTAATTCGCACCTTTTTGAAGATGAGAAGGTCTAATTCGCATGCAATACACCAGCGGACGGCATAGAATACGAATGATTCAGTAGTTACAAATACTCATAACGTTGGATCACCTCACGATACGATAGGCTCGGCTATAGTTTAACATCTACTCGTTTCAAAATAATTGTATCGTATAAACTCTTGCAGTATATACATACTATACATTGACATTGTTCAACAAACAGATGCAACTAAGTGCCGGCATGGTATTAACCATATTTATAATTACATACACATACATAAACACTCACACACACATATATATATATATTATGTACAAATAGATAAATAAATAAGTGAATATATATAATCTGCCACCTATATATATATATATATATATATATATACATGTCGTTCTATAGTAACTAATT